CCGTTTCCGTTTCCGTTTCGTTACGTTCTTCGTTTCGTTTCGTTTCGTTAGTTGTTGTTCGTTTCTTTTTTTGTTCTTCTTCTTCTCTCTCTCTCTCTCTCTCTCTCTCTCTCTCTCTCTCTCTCTCTCTCTCTCCTGAAACAGGGTTTTGTTTTTTTTTCTTTTATTCTGGTTTCTTTCGTTATTTCGTTTTTAGTCTGCTATTGATCCGTGTGTGTAAAATTGGGTTTCTTAAATTTTGTTCTTTTAAAATAGATGTTTCTCTCTCTCTCTCTCTCTCTCTCAGAAATTAGGTTCCTACAATTATGTTTTTCCCAATAGAACTGCCCATTCAACCAGCAATTGATCTCTCTCTCTCTGCTCGCTCCCCCCCCCCCCCCCCTCTCCTCCTCCTCTCTCCCTGAGAACTTGGGTTCCCTTCTATTTTGGTTTTTCCCAATAGAACTGCGCATTCAACCAGCAATTTATCACTCACTTTCTCTCTCTCTCTCTCTCTCTCTCTCTGAAAATTCCCTTTGAGAAATTGGGTTTCTTTAATTTTGTTTTCCCCAATAAAATTGCTCATTCAACCTGTAATTGATCTCTCTCTCTGTCTGAGAAGCCTTTCTTTATTGCGCTCTCTCTCTCTCTCTCTCTGAGGAGTCAGTGGTTCTTTATTGCTCTTTTTCCCTAATAAAACTGTCATTCATCATCTAATCGATCTCTCTCTCTGTGGATATGAGAAATAATTTCTACTTCAAATCTAACAAGTGTTCTCCTTTTGTTGTGTACACAGTCTGGTTGCTGCAAGCCCCCAACAAGCTGCAACTTCACATATGTTAGCCCCACCAACTGGACAACAACATCAGCAGCTCCACTCGGAGATTGCAATCTATGGAACAATGAACCCACCACTCTATGTTTCAACTGCGAATCTTGCAAGGCTGGTGTCTTAGCCAACCTTAAAAGTGACTGGAGAAAGGTGGCAATTGTTAACATAATCTTCCTCGTCTTCCTCATCATCGTTTACTCCATAGGCTGCTGCGCTTTCAGGAACAACAGGGCCGATAATGGTTACCCCCAATACAAGGGCTACCCTTGATTCTCTCTCTCACTCTCTAAAATTCTGTGTCTATTTGGTTCTTTGTTTTGTATCTTCTTTTTGATGTACAGACGGGGTACCATACATTTGATTTCTCTGCTGTTGTAGGTAGGTTATGGGCTTTGTTATGATGATTGATTACTACATAGACATCGTTATGGAGCTGGTAGTTTATTACAGAGTTGTAGAGAATTTCATTATATTTTGGAGCTATTGAGATATTATTTGTTTCATATCTGTGATCTTCGTCCGGAGTGTTTAATCTGTGTTATTTGCTTTGTGTTGCTGTTTACATCGATTGCACTGTGCTTGTGTGAGTGTGAGTGTGCTTTGATGAGATTTTTGGGGAGTTTAGTGGACCTGGTCGCTGGGTGCTATGAATGGTGTGAGAGAGAGAAGACTGGACTTGGGGGAAATGAGTGGGGGGGGGTTGTTCGGTGCTGTGAATGATGTGTGAGAGAGAGAGGCAGTGTCCTGAGTGAAATCTGGACTTGGGTGCAATTTTTGGGATTTTTAGTGGACCTGGTTGCTATGTGCTGCTAGGACCTGGTTGCTATGTGCTGTGAATGATGGGGAATGTATCTGTGCGACCCAACCCACACCTACATGGAAAAATATGTATATGAGATTGCTATCTCCCAGTTGTAGGATCTAAAAAAAGTTCTAGGATCTAAAAGACCGGTTGGGATACGATCAATCAAAATGTCGATGTTATGGATTTAGAAAATGTTATGGATTTGGAAAGAAACTTGGGAATTTGCCCTTGCCCTTGCCCATCTTTTATGCATCCCATCATTGTCCTTGTCCTTATTTTACGCATCCCGTCAGAGAATGCCCAATTACTCAAAAAATTATTCAGATGAATGCAAGCTCTTATTACCAAAATTTTTTTTTAGGATGTTTAAAAAGTTGAAATTGGGGGTTTTAAGTAATTTTTCTTAAACAAAAAATTCAAAAACTCGCACATCATGTTAGAAATGTTAATTCTTTAAAATTTTGAATATAAAATCTATCTTTAAAATAGATTTAGAATTGTATATAATGTGATCATTTACCAACTGCGCAAAAAAATCACAATTGTATATAACTATCTAATGTGAAATTTGATAGCTTGAATGTGTCACAAAGTTTGAAAAAATTACTTTTAGACATTGTGCTTGGTCAACGGAATAAATACAACCACCTAGTTTCACATCCAAAGGTCAAGATTAATTGAGACCACTTTGTACAAAAGGTACATGGTCCCGTTCTATACTTTTACAATAGTTTTGAAGAGTGACCGCATTCATGTAAATGATTGATGAGTAAGCCCACTCATAGAAACCCTATCCATCTACCAAACACAAGAAATAAATCAAGAATTGGCCCACCAAGCAAAAGCCATTGCGACCAGGTCCCTTTGCCGTTCAATTGCATTAACAGGAACTCAAAGAGATGATGTGTCAGTATCACCCATTGAGAGAGATGCAAATACAGAGAGAGAGAGTATCACCCATTGAGAGAGATGCAAATACAGAGAGAGATAAGATGCACATCGCAATTTTTTTTTCCCTCTGCATAGAGCCGGCGTTATGTCCATGCATCTTGATGTCGAGATGATCGATTTGAAGATATTTGGACATCAAAACAACCTCTTCTAGTAAATTTTTTGATGTAGGCTCTAATTTGATTGTTTAGAGCCTCGGCTCTATATAAAATTTTCCCTATTATTAATGTTTGCCGTTCAAAAAATGAATAAATAAATGCACATGACAATGCAGAAATATGGTCTGGTGGCTCTTCAATGGCATTAATAGTAGGGTGCGGTTTGGCTCTTCAATGGCATTAATAGTAGGGTGCGGTTTGCATACGGACGCATCTGTAGGTGTAGAGGTAAGGTGCACCTTCAAATTTTATCATGGTATATAATTTTGATGTAAAATGTTCTTAGGATTATCTCAAAATCTATTTTTATATCTAATTATAAAATTTTAAATTTCAAAAATAATTAAAATCGAGTAGATCTATAAACATATAAAAATCTTGAAAATAGACGGTGTAGATAATATGTTGTAAAAA